GCGAATAATGTTTACTGGACGCCTATCAATATCGTATAAACTATTAGACTGAGTTTGTTTTTTGGCCTTTATGCCTCAGGTGGACATAAAAGGGGTTACATCAATAGCTTTGTTCGCAGTTAGCAATATGATAACATCGATCCGCCGTGGCAGAAAGTAAACGTTCGGGCTAAAAGGAACGTCTCTAATCCCTTCGGCAATTAAACAGCAAATGGGTACGCTTTATTTTTCCTGACCTTCAGGAAATTTAGATTTATTAGATAATCGCCATATGAAAGGCAATGGAACTCATTCATTGTTTGAGCAGTCTGACCCCGATATTCATTCGTAGTAAACTTCAGAACGCATATATTCAGATTTCATTTAAGACTAACCGCGAAAGTGCACTTATTGCAAATGCCCGAAGAAACATGCTATACCATTTTATTTATTAGACCTTTAGAGAAACGTCTACCTTTGATAAACTATTAAATCTATTATTCTTTGGTACACTTGTTGATGGGTGGTCGACCATAACAAGATAAGATTTCAACTGACAGAATAAAATGAACATCAGTCCTGTTACCGTCTTTAAGGGAAATACAAGGATTCAAGCATGCCCAAGCTGTTGGGGTAGTCTTTCTTTTCAAACAAAATCAATACAACATTGATAAAAAGCTGCCATCCCTGCAGCGTAAGAACTACGACATTTAGGATATATAGTAAGCACCGCGTCGTAGATCCGGGAAAAATCACAAAATTTGTCTACTGTATTAGTGCACATAACGAATAGTTAACTATGGCAAGAATCCACAGCATAAATGGATAGCTGATTTATTTCTAACTGGAGAAGGAACTTAGCAGAGATCCAACAATGTAAGAACAAAACGATCTGGTGTATTAAAACTGATCAATACTGGAAACAATACCCAACGAGAAAGTGGCATAATACAATGTACATGTTTGTTACCTAGACTGTATGAGGTACATGTGTCGTGCTTTCTGTAATATTTATATAAGTTAGGGTTAATAGGCTGTCTGGCGTTTGGCTGGACCCTGTCTCTATCTGTGAACTATTTTTTGGTGATATACTATATGGCAAGAAAGCATGACAAATCCATAAAGTCGTTGGTGGAGTGTCAGAAAGTCGACAACGATTTGAGCTTTGAACATTAACTTAGCATCAGTAAACCGTATAGAATTGGCAGTACGTAGTGTCCCATACATTCGGAGATATCTTTTGTTAGAGGATAGTAGAAAACGGTTCTCTAGCAAAGATTTGCGCTATGAAAGGCTTTAGCTATGGGCGTCCTTTTGAAAGTTCCAGGTATCTAGTTTTAGTCAATCACTTGTCTCAGGAGGCCGCAACAAAAGCGACTAACCTACAAGGATAAAAGATCAAAATTGAAGAACTAAACCGCGGACTTACGGTATAAAGCTCGCCTCACGTTTGGAGTGGAATTGAGACGTTGAATTAATGAAAAAAAAAAGATTCTTGTCGATATTAAATACTACCAAGATAGGTATAGCGATCACTTCTTTGCTAGCCACATGCACTACACATTAGATTTGAGATGTCACCGAAAAAGTATTTGGAAAAACATTTCGACTAACTAATTAAACTTTCCGAATATCTATGAAATATACTCGACCATATAGTGAGCTTTAATTTAACAATCCAAGACAAAGTTTCCTCGATAGATATCCGAGGCAACTTCAGCATATAGCTTTGTTCTCAACTGTGAAAGTAAACGTACCATCACCTCCATTATTCTATCCCCCTACCTGCCGATCGATACTTTTTCAGATCACGAAGACTGTACATGAGCTTAACGAATCAATATGCTTCAACAATTGATATGATCGTGGTATGTTTCTCGAAAGCTCACCTTCTTATAATGACCAAGCACTCACTTAACTCTTACCACATGTTGAGTGCTGTGCCGCCGGTGTTACAATGTTGGTTGTTGTGCAGATTACCGTACATTTAAGTTACCACATTACTATAGGCATGCTAGAACAAAAATTCTCATTATTACATCCCTGATTTGCCGATATCCCTAGATCTGAAGCCACATCACTGAATCTAGAGATTTTTACGATGACCATCATCATAGGAATGCTCTGCGGCTCAGAACTAGACACCTAGAAGTAATTAACGCTCTAAAGACAAACTGTTTAAATGGCGAAACGTTAGTACAACTCGCAAACGGTAACTACATCTCAGCTGAAATTCGTCCAGCTGTTGTCGCAGACAGATCAACGGATTAGGGCGGTGTTTTGGTATACCTATAAGGTCACGAATATCAAAAACACCACGCTTCTTGGTCTTGTGATTATAAGTTAATATTGGATCCGCGGTTGATGTTCAGAACTTTCTTCCACCTGTCAACCTGTATAGTGGAAATTTTCAAAATATGGTACTGAATAAAAGTTGTCCAGCAAGATTTTAGACCCTGGTTACGCTGTCGAATAATTAGTGGTTTTCGCTTCATGCAACTAAATGCAAAAGTGGAAAATCCTAATCAAATAAGAGGTTTGGAGATATGAAGCGTGTAAGAAAACCTCTTATTTGAAGTCTAAAGGTGAATCTTTAATGACGTTTGCGGTATGTGGCCTCGTGTTGTCCTGAGGCAAAATGATTCGACCTTTTTTGCTAGACTTTCTCTCTTGAGTTGCCTGGTTCGTTCGGTGCAACTCGATTAAACAGACGTATCGATCAGCTGTTTCATTTGTAGGAAGCAATTCCCAGTGAATCAAGCTTTTGCTGTCGCAGCGAACTAGAAGCATAACTTTTTTAAAACGCAGATCTGGCCTTAGGTCCGTAAGCCTTAGGTCCTTTTCCATTCATTCCTATTTTTGGTTCATATTGACAGCTACTTTTTCTTATCGCCGGTGACATTTCTGTCAAAAACTAGTCATTGTGGCTATGTCTATATGTATTTCAATGCTCGACACCGGACGAGATATTGTGATCTAGATCCCGGACACTGTTTCCAAAGCCGGAGAATTGCAAACCCTTGAGCAGCTATTTAAACAATAGCGCCGTTACCGTACATGTAGGAAGTAAAAGACAGGTGAGAATAAATGAGAAATGAATATAAAAAACGCCGTATACAATAAGAAATCTCCCCTTAGAACATGGACACATAACAAAATGCATTAAAATACTGTATGTCGTAGTTTCCTATTAGATCTTAAATAATATACTGTATAGAAAAATATAGTTTCTTTCTCCAAAAATAGATTTTCCCTGCCGCCCCGACAATGCAATATTTTGATGTTTCCAAAGCGCGAGTTAAAGTTTCTGGGCATAAACTACCAAGACCTGCGCAAAACATTACGTTGCTCCTCGTGGCTAGCGATCTATGGCCTGGCAGACTCAATATATAATTCGCGAGTACTACAACGTCACCGAAAATCCCTCCACATATGACAACTAGCTATTATGCAATTGGAAAATATTTATCGTTTTGCGATTGTTATAGTGACCTGTATCATACAGTTTGGGACGCATGCAGGAAGTCCAGGAACGATAACACATAATATTTGTTAGTTACTATACGCAGAAAGATCCCGCTATAGTATTCCTTTTCATACGATGCATATATCATGCGTCGAGGCAGCTTTCGTAAGGAACATAGGGGGCATTCACTTCGAAGAAAGGCGAGGCAAATTTCCTATGCTGTTGCTTGCAACCTAAAGACGACGAGATGCTTCACTTCGAATACGGCCTTAATATTCTGTGAGTCCGACTAGACAACAGCACTTATTACGCTGTATTCTGTAACGGTTTTCTTACTACTTAATATCGATTCATAATGAAACAGTGTTTACTTAAAGTTATTTACTAAACTCTTGCTAGAATGTTCATTGGATTGGGCTTAAAATGTTTATAAATTAATCGACTTCAGCCCACATCGCAAATCAATTGTTTATAATTATACAACGATTTACGAAACAAACTGCGATTTTCTTCCTTTGCTTCTTTTGCCATATTAGATCATATCAATATGGGGAGTCTATTACCTTGAAATTACTTTAGCATCTTTGCCAAGTTCAGCTTCTACCTAATGGAGACAGCATACCGTACTAAGGACATCAGTAGCGTTCTTGAACCAATTGCTAGCTAAAAAAGTTTAAGTAAGATATTTTAAAGCACTCTATAGTGTAAATATACAGTATCACCAACGTACACCACATGTAAGGAAAGCTGTTTACTTTATCTTGTCACCTAAGATATTTATTATGAGGTATGTGTACAAAATTCGTGAAAACTGGTACGTTTTTGGCATAAAAACCGACTGCACTCTCTCTAAAACAAAAAAAGGAAAAAATAAAGCTGATGGTTCAATTTAACAGGTTTTTGTTTTGTTTAGTAGTCTAATAGGCTGGACACCCTTATTGCGCCAAGAAAGCCTTCATAACAAAGATTTGACAATTGCTCTATCGATGGTCTACGATGTTGTTAATCCTACTATATGTATGTACAATCACTGTTGTCACACAATAATTTAGGTACCGGTCCCCCTTTTTTTTTTTTACCTTAGAAGACAGCTTATAATGGATGTGCCGTCGCGAGATATCTATAGGACTCTATGGGTGTCTTTACGGTTCTACAACAAAAAATAATACTGACACAGCAAATGAAAGCTTGTTGTAAGAATTGTACTGAAACTGTGTGAAACTAGAGCTGATCAATCGGCGACTGTCGTTTTCCTTGTTCCTCTGCCTAGTAGTTTAACAGCGAAGAAGGTGGAGTTCGAGATAATACTGTTCGTACTTTCATAGCCAACATGCCAAAATTGTAATAGTGGAAACTAACCAACGTAAATCGAAAGCATCTTCGTTCCCCTTACGTACCCAACACGCTTACTCGATGTTAGTTGTTGAGCACGCGAGCCCCCATACTTAATAGAAGTACATAAAACGTAACATGACTGACTAGTGGGTGTACTTAATGGGCCATTTAGAACTCGATGCATTATTGGTGTGTATTCAACAAGGAAAAGAAAACTTACAATATGGTCGAGACAGGCGTTATAGTTGGTTTGGTGATCCCATTGGCCATTAAAGCCACAGCCCCGAAGGGCATACCGATCTGTAAGAAACCGAGAACGAATTTGCAACAAAGCCTTAATTGGGCTTCTAAATTCTTGGTCGTATTTCTAAACTGCTTTGTTATGTAGAGTCTTTAGATGATGATATACCGTTGAAACCACTGTTCTAGAGAAATATTCGAACTCAACATCTTTTTTCATTTGTTATCCTTTACTTCTAGTTCGTTTCCGTGTAAGAGCGATACTGTTACAAAAGCAGCACTTCTCATAAGAAGAGAGTTTAGGTACGTTCTAGATTTTTTTCGATCCCGAGCTCGCTTTTGTTGTACTGCTCGGAGCAAGCAAGCAAGTTACGCAGTTACCCTTCTCAACAAACTAATTAGGGTTGCGACACCAATTGAGTGCAGGATGCGATGCCAGCCAATAGGGCTAGCAAGAGTTGTATAAAACAAGCAGGATATAAATGTCAGCAAGGGTCCCCAGTCCGGACGCCGTTTGTCACTGACTCTACGGCGAAAGCTATCCAATATATGGATGAAGCAAGACGTTCGCTATCTCAGTACCATTTACTTAACGAGCATAAAAGACAAGCCCAAAGTAATCAGAACTTCCAGTTTTTTTGTTGGGCTGCATGGGTGTCGCTATAATAAACCGAGCTCCCTCTAGCTAAACGGCATCGTCTACCCGTGAACCTGTGGTGCAGGGTGGAAGTTAGAACCAGACCTCTCTCTCATTAGTACCGTGAAGTACTTTTCTGGGACAGAAATAATTTTTCGCTGACAAACAGATAAGTTTAAACTTCGGAGAAAGCTTGTAGGCCGTTGTGTTTGCGTGTCTATTTATCGATTGCCGAGGAGAATGCCATGTCAGTTTTTGAACTTTATGTATAAAACTTCAGTTCTTCTAGCCAGCAAAAATTTTTCCTTTAAGCCAAAATTTAGTGGCAATAGACTACGTGTGCTCTGGAAGCTTATGTGAACGTTTTTCACTACACCTATTGCGATAGACCTAAAGGGGCAAATTTCTGTGTTAAGAGTAAAGCGTTCTTTGTATCTCAGCAATAGTTAAAAGGTCAACTTTGGGTTGGTTCTATGCTTAAAATTTAAGTGTGAAAGAAACGTCTTTACGTTTTTACACTGCCGGAAATTTCAACTGTTCCTTCTGTTGCAGGCCTCGATACTGCTGTTCAGTGTTGTTCCAAAAACCGGCCACTGCTTCGAGTTAGCGTTTCGGTATCACGATTAGGCATACCATCAGACGACTGGGTCCCTGCGCGCAGCAAAGTTTATCTATGCCGGAGTTCTCAACGTGTTTCTAAGATCACCAGGCAAATATGCTGCACACTAAGCTATCACGGGAACAGCTAGAAGACTCAATACGAGTAACCTGGAGAGATTGAGCAGCAGAACGGATATTCATCGTCTTTCCTAGTGCTATTTTGATTGAAGGCCGGCTGCACTCAGCTGCTTCTGTGATCCTACCGTAAATAGTTACCTTACGTTACTGCTATCCTATCACGGAGAAGCCACCTGCCTAATGCACGAATTTTTTCAACAGCTGGTTGACTGTGTGATATCGGCCTTCTAATCTACATGACTGAGCAATTGCGCAGAATACCTCGGCGAACATGAAACTGTTTATGTTTTTCTTAGCGTTACATAGCGAGCACGAAAGTTGAACTGAGACGTTGAACAGCCATTGATGTAAAAGGCCTACCCGCTGTCTACAGCATGTTAACAATAGCATGTTTATATTGGTGCACTTCGTCGGGTAAACGGTTTACCAAGCTGATGATTCTAAAAATTATGTATCAGTGAATTCATATAGGGTCTGGAAAAAAGGCCGTCTTTTATTCCCGCAGCTACATACGGCAGGGCAATACGCTTTATTGTTCTATGACGCCAGGCAAACTTTTAAACTACAGTACTTATGATCAGGATCAGATAAGTTTGCTTATACTCTATAGGATTTCGTTATTCATCCAGATTAGCAGAATACAGACAACATAGCTGACGGCTAATCTTTACGCATATATAGCAGTACGTCGGTAAAAGTGCCTCCGTCTCAGTTCCTAATTGAAACGCCGGCCATGCTTCTGTACTGCTGAGAAAAGCTGTAATTACAGTATGAAAAGCGCCACTGAAGAGTCTGTAATTGATTAAAGCCTCCCTGTCTCGATCTTTGGGAAATCTACTCGTAACCTCTCCTGTTTGATAACCGCGGCAATCGCATCTTCCGAGTTACCTTCGAATTGTTGCGGTATATTGTCGCTCGGCGTCTGTTGTAGCGTTGCGTCCACCGGCTTATATCCAACCTGTGTTTCAAGTAAACTCCGGCACGAACGGGCGACGACAAATCCGGACGGTGCAGAATTCCAGCAGAACGCCCCATCCCACGAGACCGGACAGTGGGCTTGGCTATCTGAAAGACGAACGGGACGAAGCAAACTTGCAAGTCTAGAACTCGGAAAAAATTACGAGCAAAGAAGGCGTCAATGGGTTTGGTGTCTGTTAGTTAATGTGTGAACGCCTATCTTCTCGAAAGCAACTACTACTGGAAATTTAGGCCTTTTCGTTAATTTCAGTTAAAGGTGTAATGTTTTTCACGCACGGATAAATGGAAGGAAGCGTGCTTGCAGTTCCGCAGAAGTTTTTCCGCTGAATTTGCATTACATAAAGTTTACTGCTAGTATTGACAGTGGTAGTAAACACATTTCAGATGTGGCAGCAGCCGTAAGGTTTGCCACCACTTAATTTGGCTTAAGTGAGATATAATGTTGAATTCTAGCAAACTCTAGTGATTTCTTTGTAGATAAGGGAGCCTTAGCTTAAATGACCTGGGTGTTTTTCATCTATTTTCTAACAGCAGAAACGCGTACGTTAAGGGCACGTCTCAAAGGGGAAAAGGAACGCGTTGGGCCAGTGCTGGAAGTACATACATCTTTTATATGAGCTTCGACTATACGCAGTTGTACAGGTGAGGTTTTGGTATGCCTCTTGCAAAAAGCCTCCGTAAGAAATCAAGACGATGACATGCTCCTAACATAACAAACAATAGACGTTTTTGCGGTCTATTGCTAGGGCACAGCGGTAACGAATCACTTTGTTGTCATGTCTGTATGCAGTATTTACCCTTTTTATGTATAATAGCGCGAAACATGTAGCCAATGCGTTTGTGAGTTGTTGTGGATCAGGAAAAAACCAAACATACATAGTAAAAACCAAAATCACTTGTGATACATTTTATTGTAACTAATTGAAGGTGGTAGATATTATTCTATTATTAAATAGAGCATATAGCACACTTGTCTATAAATGCGATTTACAAAGTCAAAGTTATTATGGAACCCGAGAAACCAATATCACTCACTCACTCACTCACTTACTCACTCACTCTATCAGAACACCTTACCGATATCATACTAATAATACGTGGTAAACGTCCTACCAGTAAACTGGTTTTATCACACTCTTTCGATTGTTCGACTTTGGCTGTGATAATATCACATAGATTTTGATTCGCTTTCTTAACCCGCTTCAGATAGCCTACTCTATCAGATTGCATCAACCATCAGGCTCCGTACTTTCTTTTATCTAGTAGCAGAATACAGCAGTGGTTCAATAGAAGCTATCGGAGGTATAAAATTGCAACGGGGGAAGAAATGGTTACTCTCTCTAATTATTTTCTGGCAACGATATGTAGATTGGCCAAGCAATATGGTAACAGAACCTTAAAAAGGCTTAAAAGAGCAACTTAAACTCTAATTGGCAAAGGTAGTACTGAAGAGTATTCTCTAAATGACCACCTGAACAACAGAGCAAAATTCAAACTGGTTGTCTTAATTATGACCCAAAAAAAAGTGTGCTTACCTTTAATAATATTGGGTGGTCGCTGCGGGTTCGTGTAAACTGAATATGCAGTAAGCAATGAAAATACAGTCAGAAGAGGGAGAGCAATTCTAGAACCTATCCTTAATGACCATCTTATGCTTGTCTTCAGATCGACTATTTCCGTCTCTTTTCAAGAAGGACAAACTTTAACGTATATAGTTTAGTGCCCCTTTTTGTGATAGACGAATGAGATGAGATTATTTTAAACGGAGGAGTTTCCTTATAATCTAAGAGAATATATGGTTATTTTTAACTGGAACTTAGAGCAAATTCTAATATCAATACAACATATTTATTCCGCCTCAGATTACTCCACTCGAAAGTAACCATTGTCTCTGTGTACATTCCGTATTGCTTGTAAACTGCACCATTAGCAAACTGATTATCACATGTTTAGTTTAGCCTTGCTGAGGCCCAAGGGGGAGGCTGAAAGAAATAAAATTTCGTGACGATCACTAGAACCTTGCTGGAACCCTCAATGCTGCTAGGATATAATGGAGGTCCCTGCAAGTAACGGTTCCATCAGCTCCTTAAAAGCATTTCTACATACGAAGCGTAGAAGAATACGACGTTCTTAGCTTAATTTAATGCTATCAGGTTTAACCTTACAAAAAAAACAGTAACCTTCAAACACTTAGAAGTCTCCGCTTGCTCAGAAAATCATTTTGTTTACTTCAGATCGACACTAAAGAACCAACACAATTTTATCATTACTAAAAATAAACAGACGTACAATTTCGACGTCCTTGCACTTTATAGTATTATCATTTTTTTACTATTAAATTATGCGACAATTATCTGGCGGTAATCGTTTATGTGGAAACACCTTGTAAGGAGCACGCACATGTTTTTTTTGAATGCCTTCCTTCGTCTTATTCCAGGAGGCTCCTTAACCTGGTTACACCGTTACCGCATCTCTTCGAGTTTCTATAGAACCTCACTTTTTCAGGATCTCATCTGAGATGCTTCTGGTTACGAATTTGTACACGTGTTTTTAGATGCGTTTCATGGCAAAAAAGATGTCGAATAGCCTTGTCTCTCGCAATAAAAAGAACCGAAGGCAAAGCCCATGGCCCTGCAGATAGTAAAACCTGTTATGTCGTTCAGTGGATATTTGGTTAGCAGCCTAATTGAGCACTTCATATGTCCACAGATTAGTTGGCTATGACTGCAGCTTTCTTTATCAATATAGAAACATCTATACGACCCTACTATTTGTTTAGTTTGATCAACCCAGTCCATCGAGCTTTCGTAAATTTAGAGTAACTGTGAATAATGGAAAGACGCCGTGTAAAAACGACAAGAAAGCCAGCTGCCAATTAAGGACGTAGGTTCCTTAATAGAACCAGTAGTAACGCTTTGAATAACAAAAGCAATGCTATCGACTGCTATTCTCGTTTTCTAGTTCTTTTATTAGCCTTAAATGGTTGTCTTTCAGATTGATCAATTGAAGTTTAGTTGTCGAATTGCTAGAGGTCTGAGTTTCCTTTAGGAAATAGCTACACAGTCGTCAAGATGTTCATGCCCAGCAGCTAAAAAAAAATCTATAGTCTTTCTTTTAGTTCTGTACAGAAAACACCTGCGAGCGTTCATGTGAAGGATTATATTAAGACAATAAATATAAACGGTAGAAAGGCTTTAATGGACGAACATCGTGACCTTCAAAGGTCTGCAGGTATTAAAAATTTGGCTCTTGACAGTGCACTGGATTCATTATGTTAGATGATTTTCGTTTACCACACTTATTTTATGCCCCGCACACACACATTCACATGTAACTTCAGTAACGTAATATCAGGTGAAAAAAAAAACAAAAAAACTAATTGAAGAAATCATCAGTGATACAACAGTAAGCGCTACCTTGCCGGTCGCAAAGAGCCACATCCATATACAGTTTTACGACGAACCACAAACAACAGTGTTGTCTGGACCGTTTATTATTACCGCAGGGTACTATCGTCACTAATTTAACGAATTCGAAGAACCTTCCCTTCAAGGAAGGAGGAAGAACCCTGCTCCCCTGAACCCCTGCTGTTGGATTGACATTTGTCGTTTGTTAAAGTTCAGCGTTCTTTTTGTTGCGCTTGGGTTTTAACCTATGACCGCTATAGTCTCCATTTCATTTGCTCTGAGTCGCACCATATAACGGCGATGAAAAAATATTTTATAGAACTTTTCAATAGACTGTCATTTCATGTATTTGAAAGCTGGTTCAAACAAAACTTGACCTAATAAGAACGTTCAACAACACAGGAACTCTGGTCAGAAATTTTGTATATTATTTGTTATATACTATAGAAAAAGCCTTCGATTGATTATAAATCACTCCAGATAGTCCAGAATACGCTTGGTATAATAAGCATTTTCATGTGCATGTGTGATCAACTACAATGTTAAATTAGAAGAAAACCATAGATGTTACCATACAAATGTGATGGATAACCTATTATTACAGCGATGACCCATGCAACTCAATAGAAACCGTATCTGTGATGGGCACAGGCTCGACTTCTGCCTACCGCTAACTAACTGACGATAACAAAGACGAGATGATGATATCAAGCCTTTCATCCCAAACTGAGAAGCCATCCGAACCATAAAGTGCGAAAAGATCATATCTATTTAACCGACAATTGATAATAGATTTAATCAAAAAGCCAAGTCGCACAGCGACAAAACGATCCGCGTGCTCTCAGCCGTTGCTAGTCCGCCTTCTACTTTAGTTTGGTGACTTTTTAAAGATAAAAAACGATCCTTTCTAGCCGTTTAAAGATCTTCGTGTAGACAGGTCACGCCTTTAAAGAATGCATTCTAGTTCAACCCATTTCTGCTACGTTGTTAGGAGCCGGAAGTCTACGATCTCTGTAAAAAAAAACCTTTTATTAGGTGCATGACTTTAGTTTACTATTTAAGAAGCTCGTTGCATCGCTCACTGCAGCCGACAGGACACGCACTATATGTAGAGAACTTGAAGTATTCCAAGTGCTTCATATGGCCAGTTTTCGTTTTCTCACGACTGGGTAAGCGCAAGACAAGTCATTACCTACTCTTGAGCCTCGTGTCCCGCCTACTGCTAATTGAGCCGTTTAGAGTCCTAAGTGTGTCTTCTTTTTAACATGCTTTTATAAGTATAAATTGCACAAGTTAATTGGTCGTCCAGTGTTTAGATTATCTGGAACTAGTTCGACTGTTTCAGATGCCGATCGCGAGTGACCATCAAGTTTTGAAGTCGCACAAAAGCTCGTCCTCATCTATCTAATTACTTCGAATGCTATCTCTCTGGTCGCTCAATACATATTACCTTGAAAAGATGTGCCTCATTTGGATACTTTTACGGCTCTAAACTCCTCGCGTGCAGCAGCATATCATTTGATGTTTCGAATGTACTCAATTCATTCGTTTTCTATACAATCTTCCACTCTGGAAGAAGCTATATTCTGCTCGATGAGACCCTTTACGTACCGGCCATCTTTACCCGAAACGAATCGCAGAGCTGTCGCTGAGTGGATAGCCGATTGGAGAGCTTAGCAAGAAAGATGTTCTCCATTAACATACTAACCCATGCTTGTGGAACTGTACCTCGCGACGCATAGGAAATTTATTGGCCCAAGCTGGACAATTTAAACTACTATAGCGATGCTGGGTAATGGTTGAATCGAGGGTAGACAGCCTAGTGCTTTCTGTCGCTTTTTCTTTATTGGAATGAAATTAAAATACAGTGCATTTGTTACTGGATCGCTTTGTTATAGAAGACACGTGATTGCCGTAAAGATTCGAACATGTCGCATCCTTTCTTTTTCTGTAATGTCACAGTTGTACGAAACCTTGAAGTTCATGAAGTAAACGACGATTATTTGGCCTTTTTAAACAGTATGAAAAGGCCCTAGGGTAACTGCATCACAACACATTCTATATTAGAGGGTTTCCAAGCATATTTGTGGTCATTGCACAAAATACTTTTGCGATATAACGAATATTATATATATTTGCGCGTAGTATAGGTATGTACTTTAAGGTGGTGAGACGGATGTATTGAGCCTGACAGCACAGAGCCTTCTCGAAACGGCTGTTCTACTCAGAGACGATTCCGCCAGCGAATGTTTTTTACGTGCTAAGTGTCCTATGAATAAAACATTGACTGCCAACTTTTCCCGAATACTGCTACTTACCTTGGTAAGGACTATTTAAATTAATCGTAATGCATTTGGCACCGAGTATCCGTGTAAAGCCAAATTAAAGGTTTTTTAAGAAATAACCCTTTCCAATTTGTTACCAATAAATTTGGTAGTTACCCAGATAATTTATACAATAAACAGTGTTGAGTGCCAAATAGTCTATCACTATAAAATCACATCCCACATTTGATGTCACATTCAAAAATAAAAAAAAAAAAAAAATA